CGCCCATCTTGGGCGTTCGACCATTTTTTTGCGAAAAAAAAAAGCCCTACAAATCGATTTGTAGGGCTTTTTAACATGAAATTGGTTCTGTAATCGACCTACCCAATGCATATTACACATAAAAGAGTCGAAATTACATCAAAAAATCGAAGCCCAACCCTTCTTCAAGCTTGATTTCGAATTTTCGAATTTTTTTTCTTTTTTTTTTGCTATTTGCAGTTTTGGGGAGTTTTTTGATATTTTTAAAAGTTTTGGGTGGTTTTGTTAGAAACCGCGAATAGCAATTTTGTGACGGCAAATAGCATTTCCGAATAAAAATCACGGAGGATTACAAACACTCACTCACTTCTGATAATTAGGCTTTAGGCCTATTTGAAACACTAATCTTTCTCTAATTTACTCTAATTAAGGTGGTGTTTGTAAAAGCTTTTTGAAAGTGATTATGAATTTTTTTTGCTCATAATCTGTTTTCAGGTGTTTGTAAAATTAACTTTTGCTTTTGTTTATCTTAAAATAATCTGCTTTAAGCTATTTTTTTAAAAGCACCCCTAACCCTGAAGCAGATTATTTTAAGAGAAGCAAAAACAAAAGTTGATTTTGCAAACACCTAAAACAGATTATGAGCAAAAAAAAAAGCTCATAATCACTTTCAAAAAACATTTGCAAACACCACCTAAAACCTAAAACATAAATTGTGTATGCATGCCTTGTGTTGTGAAAACAAGAAGTCTTACTCAAGGTAAACTAATTCACACGCCACTTCTCTCAAAATTGAGCCGTCCATTTTTCTTGTATTTAATGCATAAAGTTATTTTTTATTTATTTTTTTAAATACAAACAAAAATTAAAAAGATTATGTTTGATACTCAATTCAAGATCGATCGAAAAAAAAAAACCGGTTAATACATAAGATATATGAAACTCAAGCTATTCGAGTAGAGTATAAATCACGAAATAAAAAAAAAAAAAAAAAAAATTCAAACGACTAGAATTCGACTAGTATTTGGCTCCATATAAAAAAAAGCTCGTTCGGCTAGTTTACACACCCCTTACCTGTGTCATGTTTCTATACATGGATCTTTTATTTTTTATTGTAGGGGAAACTACAGTTTGCACCCCTGAACTATAGGGGTTGTCACAAACACTCTCTTGAACTACGAAACGTAACGAAATGACCCTTGCTGTTTTCAGTGAACTGTCAAAAACTTAACACCGTTAGTATATGAGTGCATTTACCGTTTTGTCCTTAAAATATGTTGCATTATCGGGTTGTGCCCTTGAGTACAACCCTAGTAAGCACACCTTCTTCCAAATCAAATATTGAGCAGAAAAACCCACTGCCACCACAAGCATCTCGCTGACAGCCTCTCTCCCGGCCACCACCACACCCACTTCTATGTAAATCAGCCGATTCGGGAAGCAATAGAAGCCTGCGCGAATCGGAGCAGTGGTTCGCGTCTGGGCTAAGCGGAGAGAGAGAGAGAACAAATTGTTAGGGACTGCGACAGGGATATAACTAAATGGCGCCATAAAATGTTCGATTTTTTCATGGCAACGGGATCTCATTAATTTTTTTGCTGGGTAGTTTGATATATATTTACTATAACTTCTGTTTTTTTGGTGAAATATTCTGAGATTACTACCTAATTGGGATTGAGGGGATGCTTGAGAATCCTTGCAAGAAACTGACATTTGGGGACTTTTTAATGGAACCTTTCTTCGGGAAAATTGCATATCCAAATTGTAGGATTGAAGAAATGATGTGTTGTTCTAATTCTTTACTTTATGTAAGCATTTATTGGATTGAGAAGAGTTTTATGATGGTTCTCGTGAAAAGACAGAGTTTGAAGACCATGTTCTAGAGAGTATGGCATTTGCAGATGTTTCCTTTTTTTTTTTTTTTTTTACTTTCTTTTAATTAATGATATTGAATAATATTTTTTTTGGTATTCTGATAGTTTTAAGAATTAAAATATTATATATATATATATATATATATATATATATATATATATATATATATATATATATATATATATATATATGCACGACATATTGGGGGGTAAAAACGATAAACAATAAAAAAATCAGTTATAATTGAAAAAATCAGTTATAATCAGGGGTGCAAACTGTACTTTCCCCTTAATTGTATGTCGATTGATGACTGAACTTTCATCGAGCAAATTTGGAGGACCATTATTAAGATGTGGCGAAAGATCCTCCATTTACGGGGGCCTCACGTTTTTCATCGTATTGGGTTTCGGTTTTCGACAGAAAAAGTGTTTTTTGTCCTCAAATATTTTGTTTTTCTTCAACAAATTAAATACCTCACGGACAATAAGCAGTAGGTTAATTAACATGAAACTTGCTGCATTTAGGCAAGGCTTTCCTGATAAAAAGTTAAGCTTTGTTTACGCAGGTAGGAAAAATTCAGAAAATATACTAAAACGAAAATTAAGCTTGCTTCGAAAATGAGGAAAAAAAAACGATTTGATATCAGGTTTTTTTGCAAAAACCATCCCTGTGTAATTTCGAATTGCCGAAAAAACACTCGTGTTAAAAAAATTAGCACAGAACCCCTGTGAAAATTAGTCAAAGCCAAAAAGGGCCCTGCGAGCTGGATGTGCGATACACTCGCGGTTTGCGCGACTAGGAGTCTGATTTTTGACCTAAAAAGACCCAAATACCCTAACTCAACATTTTCGGAAATTACAAATTTATCCTGGATTTTTCACATGCCAAAATGAAGTTTGTAGAATTTTCGATTCAATCCCTAACAATTTCAGAAACGCCCTCTCTCCAAATTGCATAGGATCAAATTGCAATTTCCATAATTTCTTAAAACCTAATCATCTTCCTTCTCCCTCTCCTTCTTCAGATATGCTCCTTTGCAAAAAAAATTGCTTTCTCCATTGAAACCCGCCGGAAGACGAAGGCACTTCACATTGAGGAAGATGATGCCATGAGATGACGGCTCTGTGGTTGATAATTTTTTTTTTCCATTTTTCTTTTTATTTTGTTATTTTGAATTATATTATTTTATGCATTTTATTTATTAAAAATTGAAATATTATTAAAAATTATCAGGGTTAGTTTAGTAATTTCATGTAAGCCAGCAGCCAATTTCAAAAAAAGGGACAATGTTCTCAAACAAAACATAGGGGCGTATTTGCTAATTTTTGTAATACGATGACTTTTTTGGCTATTCGAGATTACACAGGGATTATGTGCAATTAACTCATTTATTTCAATCAAGTAAATATTAAATTTGCTAAGAACTCAAAACATTAATTTAATTTAGGCCGCAGATATAGCAATATTAATTTCAATTGTGCAAGACCAAATTAAAGAAAAAATTCACAAGATTCTATTTTATTAACATGAAATGACAAATATACACCAAAATTAAATTAACTTTTATTTGCTCATGCAAGACCAAATAATAAGTAATGCAAAACAAAAAATTAAAAAAACGTTAAATTAAAAAAAATAATTAAAAAAACCCACTCCCTGTGAAACCCTCCTCGTCGCCACACCTGCGCCGTACAAGCTTTGCCGCCGCAAGCTCCTCGCCGACCGCCGCCGCCAGCCCCGCCGCTCACAACCACGAGGGACCTAAATCCGCCCAACAACGTTTAAAAAATGTTAATTCCTCATTTTGTTCAATCTTAAGAAAAAGAGGAAAAAAATTAAATTTGAAACTAGTAAAAATCGACACTAAGGTGTCGAAAAACTATGCTAGAAATCGACACTTAAGCGTCAAAAAAAAGACCCAAAAAAATTGAAATCAACAGTATGTCGAATTTGTTAGGTAAAAATCGACACTGAGATGTCGAGTTTATAGCAGAAAAGCCGACATTGTGAAATGTCGAATTTGCTACTACAAAATCGATATCTCAGTAATTTTTACCTATCAAATTCGACCTGTACATGTCGACCGCGTTTATGCGGGAATTTTTTTTGGAAAAACGATATTCTAGCAAAAAAAAACACAAAAATGCATACCTTCTCGGGTTCTTCTACCGTAGAATCTTCTATTTTGATGTCTTCTGACTCCATACTTGTCATCTTTGTAAGATTTGTTGAGTTTTGATGATTTTGAATGTTTAGGTTTTTTGGCTTTATGGAGGAGGAAGGAGAAAGGTTTCATAAGTTTCAGAAGATGGAGAAAATGAAAGTTGGTTTCTTGTGGTTTTGTGATAGGGTTTTTTTTTGTTTTAAGTTTTTAGTATTGCACATTTGGATTTTTTATTTTATTTAAAAGCAAGGGTATTATAGTATTTATACATTGGAAAATTTTAATTTGGTCTTGCACAATTGAAATTAGTATTTCATATAGCCGCGACATTTAATTTATCACACACAATAACAAAATACTCGACGTATTTCACCCGATAATAAGGCAACAACAGATACTACATAAGAAGCAAAAAAAATCGGATCGCAGACAAAGAAAAAAACACAAGTTAAACTAGTCTAAAAAACAATGCTACATCTGTTCATTACACAAGGCAACAGATACTACATACGAAGCAAAAAAATTCGAATCGCAGACGAAGAAAAAAACATAAGTTAAACTAGTTTTAAAAATAATGTTACATCTCTGTCCAAAAAAAAAAAAAGAAATTCCGAGTACTTTTCGCCGACTAATTCATATTCCTATACAACTGTATACGATTCTCTCTCCAGAAATTAATCAGTAGGTATAACAATTCTCGATCCCCACGTTCAAAAATTTATACAATTAGGGTTCGTGAGCCGAGATTGCCAGCTATAGCGGAAGCGTTAACCTAGACCAAGAACAAAAAAAAAATTAGTTTCGCAATCATAGTATGATAAATTATGGGTATATTCCAAGTTAGATGCTTTTTTATTATTTCGATTTTCGAGGGATGAATAAAATAAAATGCAATGGAGAGAGTATTTTACATACCGAAAGGTTCTAACTGCTTCATGTGCTCTTTGCCATAAACTAAAAAATCCGTGCAATCGAGGTTTTGAAGTGAGTTCAGCAGACGGGACGATTTCATTGACGAGTTTGACTGATTCCGAGAGCCGATGAAGTAGATTCAGCAAAGCAATCACTTCATTTCTTTGCAGTTGCAGCTGCGAGTTCAAAAATAAAATTACAAAGGAGATTTGACTAAGTATTGATCATTAAAAAGTAGGGTAAATCGAGGTAAAGTCAAATTACGAAAATCCCCCCTTCTGTTTGGGTAATTAATTACAAACACCCCTCAACTATGAATCTTCTTACACGTCCACCCTTGCGGTGTGAAATTAAGTGAAGTCTTCTGGATTATATGGAATATTCTCAAGTTTGTACCCATTTTATCATATTCGCACTCCACATTTTGACGCAAGATGATCATAAGATATGTTTTTTGACTTGTATTGAGGTGCATCAAAAACTGCATTTTTGCACAAAACGAGTACAAACTAGAGAC